CAGCTTTAGCACCTTTGAGGAACCCTCCATGTTAGAATTTATCTCCCAAGCCTGGGAAAGAGCAGAGCAGTGGTAAGTATCTGGTTAGAGAAAATGCCTAGTAAGATGCAATTCCGTATATTGCAAGTGATAAAGCTGTAATTGTTTGTTGACAGTGTACATTAGCTCTTTGTAGCTTGTGTCAATATAGTACCAGGAAACTAGGGTCTAGGACGCTTTAATGGCAGCTCAAAAATATCGTGGAACTAGCTAGGGGGATAAAATCAACAAATTTTACTCATTGGGAAGAATGTCATTTCCAGAGATGACTTCAGGGGAGAAGTGGTCATGCCTTGGTGAGGTGTGAAACTTCTGCATGAAGCTGTATGTTGTTGAGTGTCTGGGAAGGGCACCAAGGCATAATGCTGGTGCACATGGGTGAGAGGCAAGTTGAAGCTGCTGTGAACTGGGCCCGCTTAGGGGTAGAGACCAAAAGGGGATGGGGCCTGAAGTTCAGGTCCAGATAGAGGTCTGAGCCCTTTGGGGATAATTTGGTATTTTGATATCAGGGTCCACTGGGATCCGCAGTCTGGCATTATCATACATGACTGTCTGGGGGTGGAGAAAGATGTCTGGTGCACGGGCAAGTTGGTGGGAAACCAGTGAACAAGAGAGCGGTGGGCTGGGGGCCAGGGTTGTGGTTCTGGTGGTCAGCCATTTCCAGCAAGGACCCAGCCAAGGATGCACGTGTGTGTGTTTGGTGGCGAGTGGGGACATTGTTGGGGTTGAAATGAACAGGAGGCAGCTGAACAGAGGGACCCACCAAGAACCAAGTAGCAGCTCAAGGCTCAATCTAGGTAGACTGAGTTTATGTCAGATTTAATGGAGGACCGAGGTGCTGTCCAATAAAAATATAATGTGAGCCACATATACGATTTCTCAAAACTTTTAATTTTGAAATAATTACAGATCCACAGGAAGTTGTAAAGATCGTACAGAGACATTCCATGTACCCTTCTCCCAGATTCCCCCAATGGGTACATCTAATGTAAGTACAGTACAACATCAAAACCAGGAAATAGACGTTGGTGCAATGTGTGTGCGTACGTCTATGTCATTTTATCACGTGTGGATTCATGTCACCACCAGTGCAATCAAGATGCAGAATTGTTCCATCACCACAAAGCTCTCCCTTGTGCTACTCCTTTATAATCACCCCACTCCCCTTCCTCTCACCAAACCTAACCCCTGGCAACCACTCATCAGTTTTCCATCTCTTTAATATTGTCATTTCCAGAATGTTACAGAAATGGAACCATCTGCTACGTTATCTTTTGAGATAAGCTTTTTTTTTTCACTAAGCATAATAACCTAGAGATCCATCCCAGTTGTTATATGTATCAGTAGTCCATTCGTTTTTATTAGTGAGTAGTATTCCATGGCATGGATGTACTGCAGTTGGTTTAATCAGTCACCTATTTTAGGACATTTTTGTTGTTTTCAATTTGGGGCTCTTCCACAAACAAACAAGAAAAGCTGCTCTGAACAGTCATGTGCAGATTTTTGTGTGGACACCAGTTTTCATTTCTCTGGGATAAATGCCCAGGCGTGTGATTGCTGAGTTGTATGACTAGTGTATGTGTAGTATTTTTTTAAAAAGAAATTGTCCATTTTCCAGAATGTCTGTACCATTTTACATTCTACCAGCAACGTATGAAAGATCCAGTTGCTCTGCATGGTTGTCAGTCTTTGGTGTCGTCACTATTTTTATTTTTATCTGTTCTAATGGTGTGTAGTAATATCTCATAACGGTCTTAATTTTCCTTTCCCTAATGGCTAATGATGTTGAACATTTTTCTTGTGCTTATTTGCCATCCACATATCCCCTTAGTGAAATGTCTTTTCATGTTTTTTGCCTGTTTTCCAGTTGGATTGTTAGATCCTTGCCTTGTTCTCAGTCTTAGGAGAAAAGCATTCAGTCTTGCGCCATTAAGTGTGAGGTTAGCTGTAGGATTTTTGTAGATTCTCTTTATCAAGTCAGGAAGTTTCCTTCTATTCTTAGTTTTGTGAAAGTTTTATTTTTATTTTACGTTGGAGTATGGTTGATTCACAATGTTGTGTTAGTTTCAGGTGCACAGAAAGGGAATTACTCGTACATATTCATATATTTATCCTTTTTCGGATTCTTTTCCCATACAGGTTATTGCGGTGTTGAGTAGAGTTCCCTGTGCTATACAGCAGGTCCTTGTTAATTACCTGTTTTACATATAGTGGTGTGTATATGCCAATCCCAACCTCCCAATTCACCCCTCCCCCTCACCTTTCCCCCTTGGCAACCACAAGCCCACCCTCTAAGTCTGTGAGTCTGTGAACATTTTTTTGTTTAAATCAGGGATGAGTGTTGAATTTTGTCAAGTGCTTTTTCTGCATCAGTTGATATGGTCACGTGATTTTTCTACTTGTCAATATAGTGAATTACATCGATGGGTTTTCAGATATTGAACCAGCCTTACATCCTTTGAATTAGACCCCACTTGGTTATGGTGTATAATTATTTTTGTGGTGTATGTATTTTTGTGGTGTATATGGTGTATAATTATTCAGCAAAATTATTATTTTGCTGAATTCTCTATGCTAATATTTTGCTAAGGCATTTTGTATCTGTATTCTGTGGGATATTGGTCTTTAGTCTTCTTTATTTGTACTGCCTTTGGTTTTGGTATCAGGGTAATACCTCATAAAGTGAGTTTGGAAGTGCTCCTTCTTTCTCTGTTTTCTGGAAGAGATTGTAAAGAATTGGTGTAAATTCTTTATACATTTGGTAGAATTCTCTATTGAAAACTTCTGGGCCTGGGTATTTCTTTTGGGGGAGTTTTTAAATTATGAATTCAATTTCCTTAATAGCTATACGGCTCTTCAAATGATTTATTTCATATTGGGACATTTATGGTAGTTTGTGTTTTTCGAGGAGCTGGTCCATATCATCTAGTTTGTCAAATGTATGTGTGTCATTTGTGGCATTTCCTTAGTATCATTTTGATAACTACAGGCTTCGTTTTCTCTAACCTTTGCCAGCTCTGGATATTTGCCAGCCTGAAAGATGAAAAATGAGTCTCGTGGGTTGAGTTTTCATGTTTTTGATATTTATTAGGTGGAGCGTCTTTCTGTTTCTGTTCGTATGTATCCTTTGCTCTTTTCCTCCTTCCCTGTTTACCTTTTTCATATTGGTTTGTAAGTGTTCTTTATAGATTATGAATACTAACCCTCTTCCTGTCATATATATTATACATAATCTTCCCAGTTTTCACTTTTCCCTTTATCTTTTTTACAGTTTTTTTTAAATTTAAAAATGGAGGTAAAGGTACACTTAGAATTCCTCCCTGAGCCCTGCCGGGGGTGGGGGATGGTAGATAAGCCTCAGATAGGGGACAAACGGCAAAGGTGGACAGGAGCCTGGCCACCCCGCCACCACCTTTGTGCGCAATCACGTCACCTGCGGGGGCCACCATGTGTGGACACCCAGCAGAGGACAACTCCTTTCCTAAAATATGTTCCCAAGCGTTCAGTGAAAGCTTCATTATTTTATCCTTTTAAAATTAGAAGAATCTTTTAAAAATGCCTCTCTTGTGCTAAAAACATATTATTTCAGGTTCAACAATTCCTTTTGTTTCACCCCTGTTTCTTTTCCTTTACTTAACTCGCAGGAAAAGAGTATAAGCATTTTAATTTTAAAAGCACATACAATATGATCCCATTTGTATGAAATTATTTCACTGAATATGATCTGAACTACTCATCCTTCCATCTCTTTGTATGTCAACTGTCAAGAACAATTATTTCTAGATTGTACTGGGTTTTTATTTTTTGGTTTCATCTTTTAAAAATAATAAGCACTTATCATTTCTATAAAAGCAGTAGACCTATTCCTTTTAAAGAATAAAGTCTATGATAAGAAGCATCCACATTCTGCTACTTAGAGTTGGATATATTTTCCTCTGTGTGTGAATAAATACTGTCTGTTGGTGATTATTCATTGTAAATTTGTGGCAAAGTCTACCCAGAGCCTCAAAGGACCTTAGCCAGAAGGGGAAGAGTCAGTGTTACTGAACGAAATGTGGGTCCGCTTGTCCACACGCAATAAAGGCAATCTACTGACAGCAGGTTGTGGTTTATTGCAGGGTGCCAAGCAAGGAGTCCGGTTGGCTACTGCTTAGAATGCCAAACTCCCTGAAGGCTTTCAGGGAAAGGTTTGTAAAGACAGGGTGAGGGAGGGGGGTTGTGGGGTAAGTGATCGGCTTGTGGACATTCTTCTGATTGTTTGGTGGTGAGGTGATCGGGAGTCAGCATCCTCAACCTTCTGGTTCCAACTGGTCTGGGGATCTACGTGCTGTGGGCAGCATCCAGTTAACTTCTTTCACCTGATGGGATTTTCAGCCTCTGCAAAACAGCTCAAAGGACATGGCTCAGAATATTATCTGTAGCCCCTGAGGAGGAACTAAAGGTCCTTGACTTTGTATAATGGCTAAGCTATTATTATTTTGTCTAGCTTGACTGTTTTCCTTTCTTTCTTCACTTTCTCACTTCTCTGACTAAATTTACTCTTTGGAACTCAGAGAAGGCCTAGGAGGCTACAGTTTTCTACGGACAAGAGGCAGGTGGAGGACATGGGGTGGGGTGAGTCTGTTTGGGGAAGGCCCCATAGGGTCCTGCTTGGATACATCAGGTGAAGAAACTGGAGGAGGAGAAAGAGAAGAGCCATAAATGAGCGAGCCTCCAGGTCGGGGGTAGCCCGTGGCTTCGGGGGAGTAGCCCCCCATATTTCTGTGATTGGTCTCCATCACCTTTGCTGGAAATTAATTTAACTTTGAACACCTTGCATATGCCTAGCGTTCGACTTCTTTCATATCCTTCCCTGTGCCTAGATCAGCACCGTGCATCCAGCAGGTGCTCAATAAATGCTTAAGGCATGTTCAGTTCCCAAGGGGGTCATCCTCCCTCCATCTCACCTCTTTGTCTTTCAGGCTCACAGGCTTTCAGCTGCCAGCCGCTGTCGTCAGCGCGGCCACCACCCTCTCTCTACGTCTCATCAGTGACTACGCAGTCAGCGCACAGGGCTTCCATGCCAGCTATGAAGGTAGGTGCCTCGGCCTGGCCTCGGGAGCCGTGTGTGTGAGGTTGTAATAGCCGCAGGCAGGGCTGCGCTGCTCTTAGCTGCCGGGAAGGGCTTCTTCAGATTCAGAGCTTGTGCCTGTCCTAACAAGGCTGGTTACTAACCAGTAACTCAGTTACTTAAATTGCCCCTGCTGCGTTGTTTCCAGGAAACTGAGACTTGAAATCAGAGCTGAGCTGCAGTCGTTTATCTTGAGGGCCTGGTAACATCTTCTTCTCTCCCCTTAACTGGGTTTTGTTGTGTTTTTATTTTTTCAATTCTGTTTTCTCTTGGGCTTCACTGTATTATAAGGTACCTTGGCTTGGTTTTGGAAATGAGGCAGATATAAACCCTAAGTAAAAGACATAAAATAAGTAGCTGAAAAAATTTTTGGCTCACTGTAGTGACTGCAAATAGTCAGCTTTATATCATTCAGAGAAGAACAATCAATTTTTCCTTGATAGCACAGATTAGGGTTTCTTGGTTTGAGTTATGCAAATAATTGCCGCTTCTCTCAGCCTGTTTAAACATGGTGTTAGCATTCAAATTAACACTAATATCTTCAGATTATACACTATTATTATTATTAACTTTATTATGTTAGTTCAGAAGGTGGTACGTCTAGATCACTGTCATTTTCCTGGGAAATTTACATCTCATTAATAGGTAATTATGCTGCTCTTGGCTAAGACCCACACTGCTATTTTGTGTTGAGATCATTCATAGGCATATTTTAAGACTGTTAATGATAATTAATAACAATAATGACATAACACCCTAGTAAAGCATGCCAGTTATTTGAAAGCTTTCTTCCTCTTGCCTCTAAGAACTTAAAGAATAAGTGATGCTTTCTTGAATGGAGCTATAGCAATATACAAATAGATACCACCTTTGTCTTGGCTAGGAGTATACCACAGAAAGAGGGCAAATCCTAACTCCCTAGGCAAAATTCACGCCTGTTGGTAAGGGGTGTTCGGTGCTTTAACGTAAGCGATTGTGAGTTCCTGAGAAGGTCGCAGTTATTTTTAACTAAAGGTACTAAGAAGGCTCCAGAGAAAGTTTCACATGCCTTTAACTGGGGGCTTCTGACATAACTCCAGATTGCTTTAACTGAGGGCTTCTGAAAAGACCTATTTGTCTTTAAAGTGAAGTCTCCTGGGATAACCCAATTTCTTTGGAAAAAACAATCAGTTCTAGATCAGGGATCCATAAACTATGGCCCACCTGGCCAAATCCAGTTCCTGGCTTGTTTTTATAAATAAAGTTTTATTAGAACACAGCCAAGCCCATTTGCTGACATTGTCTATGACTCTTTACATGCACTACAAATTCAGAGTTGAGTTATTGCCACAGAGACCACATGGTCTGCAAAATCGAAAATACTATCTGGCCTTTTACAGAAAAAGTTTGATGACCCCTGGTCTAGAGCTGTGCTATCCAATAACAGTAGCCTTTAACCACATGCCACTATTTATATTTACATTAATAAAAACTCAGTCAAATTTAAAATTTCATTTCTCACTTGCACCAGCCTCTGTCAAGTGTTCAGTAGCCACCTGTGGCTTGTGGCTACCATACTGGGCAGCACAGACAGAGAACATTTCGTCACTGCAGAAAATCCTTCTAGACAGGGCTGAGCTCGGGCTTCCATCAGATTCACGAAGGGTCTGCGATTCACATGAGGTCACGAATCATTAAGATAAAGTGGACGCCAGTGGGTCCCTCCTCCCCGCTGCTTGGACTGGGGGTGGCAGCCCCAACAGGAGAAGGACCAACGGGACAGAAGGCAGGGCCCACCCTCCGTCAGCCACTTCATGGTGTCAGGTCTCTAAGTCATCGGCACTGAGAAGGGAAAGGCTCCAGGCAAGGCCCAGGCAAGCCCTGCATGGTGCAAACAGGTTGCTATAGCTGAGTGACTCTCTCTGTAGTCACCTGGGCAGGGTTTCCGCCAGCTCCGTGGTCTTCGTGGCTCTTTGTGCTGCCTGGCAGAATGGCTCATGGGAGAGGCAGGTGCGGGGAAGCCAAGGCTGGGGCTCTCACCAAACCCTGACGATCTGGCTCAGGACTGGACCACGGGGCAATCTGCGCATCTGGAAAAGTGTGAGTCGCACTGACTTTTGGGACACGCACAGCGGAGGGGCAAGGAGGGCAGGTGGGGGGATCAGCAGATGCAGCCACTGCTGTGGATGGACCACGTGGTAGACGACACCCACAGCGGTCCTGGGCCCTCTCTCTCGCTGGACTTCTCAACAAGACACAGATGAGCCCACATTTAGGGATTTACTGATAAATACTAGCCTCTTGGGCCTATAACTGAGTAGCTGGGTGACCTTGGGCAGAGTTTTTCAAACTCTCTGGGCCCTCTGTTGGGGGGAAGGGGCGATCCAGTGGTCAAAAAGACCATAAAGATTTGGCTCTCAGCCGCTCCCTCCATTGCAGAGCCCACCTTAGTCACTAGGGCTGGACAGCAAGCAGACAGACAGGCTCTAGAGAACTCCCCTCCCCCCAGCCCCACATCAGCCCAGGCTGACCCCAGTCAGGACAGCCTCCTCGCATCCAGCCTTCTGGGTGTCACAGGACCTGTTTCTAAATGCCATCAGGGTCCCGCTCTTGGTAGCTCCCCTTGGCTGACGTCCCTGAAAATCTGCTATCAAAGGGAGTCTCATCCTCCTCCACCCTCCTCGGGAGAGTGAAAAGTGCAGATAAGGAACTGGACTGCTGCTAGGGATTTTGGAGAAAGGTGAAGTCAGATGAAGGGTGTCAGCTCAGAGCTGCTGCCGCTTCACGGGAAAGATCAAAAAGGCCAATCGTCAAAGCCCGAGATGACAGGAGATGCTTGATTTGTAATCCCCGGGGGCAAGAGTGTGGGCTGCGGCCGTGGACAGGAGAGAAGGGCATCAACTTGTATTAAGCACTGACTGTATGCCAGGCGCTTTACATACATGATCTCATTTAATCCCCGAGACAGCCTGGTGGACAGACGTTGCTATCTCCATCTGACAGATGCTGGAGCTGGAACTCAGGAGTTTTGTGTTCAGCTTTAAGGCTACTTGATGGCCAGGAGTTTTAACGTGACTTTTCTGGCTCTAAAGACTGTACTCTTCTCCTGCAATGCACACCCTGCAGAACTCCTGGAGGAAGGTAGAGACTGGTGACTCCCTCTCATGGGCAGGTAGATTGGAACTAAGTCAGAGGCAGGGTGGACACAGGAAGCCTGCCTTGGCTTCAGCGCCCCTCCCGGATGACTTGGGTCATCTCAGGGAGTCAATAAGAGGTATGCCCACAGCCTCTCAGCTAGGATTGCCAGATAAAATCTAGGATGCCCAGTTAATTTGATTTTTAAATTATTCCAATTTTTTAAAATTTGAACAAAACTTTAGTGTAAGTATAGCCCAAATATTTCATGGGACATACTTTTACTAAAAAAAATTGCCTGTTGTTTGTCTGAAATTCAAATTTAATGGAGCGTCCTGTATTTTTATTGGCTACATCTGGCATCCTCATTCCCAGCACTGAATCCCCAGGAGCTCTAACCCCACTCATTCTTCCTCCTCCTTTTCCTGATGCCCAGATCCGCCCCTGTCCTGCTCTGCCCAGCTCGGGCTGCCCACGCACTACAGAGGATCTAGGCTCACCTCTGCCCTTCCAGTGAGTGTCCATTTGACAGCTCTCTGAACGCCCACACACCTGCAGAGAGACGCAGATCCATGGGCACTTGGGGTTACACTGTGTGTGTAATTCTGTAGTCTGGTTGACGAGGCTGACATTTTTCTGTGTTAATAAAAGCAGCCTGTCTTTGTTCTTCCTAAGGAATATCAGTGAGGGAGCCACTGTGGTTTGCCTATACCACAATTATTTAACCAGTCATGGGGACATTTAAGTGAAGGACATCCCTGTACATACAACTTTAACCCACATCTAATTATCTTAGAATTCTTGGAAGTGCAATTGCTGGGTCAAAGAGTGTGTCGATTTTTCATTTTATTACATAATTCCACGGTGTCTTTAGGAAGATTCTAGTGGGGCACACCTCTACCAGCAGGATGTAAGAGGGCCCATTCCCCTCCTTTACCTACATTGCGTGTTGGGGAGTCTTAAGTCAGTTTCATTGATTAAAATGGGTGAGATGAAATCTCATTTGTGGTTATAATTTGCATCTCTCTGATGATCAGGAAGGTTGAGGACCTGTCACCACTTTCTGGCCTTTAGTAGATCATTTTGTAAGTTGCCTGTCCCTGTCTCTGCCTACTTTTCTTTTGGGGTGTTAGTATTTTTTTCTTATCCCTTTTGTAAGTGATTTTGCATATTAAGGCTATGAATATTACGAGTTTCCTTTTGATGTGCAGTAATTTTAATTTTTATGTCACAAATTTTTTAATACTAATTTTTCTTTGATAATCTACCTTTGGTGTTATGCTTAGAAAGGACTTTTCCATGCCAAGATCAGCTGGTCATTTAGATATTCCTCTCATTCTTTTAGCATTTTATTTTTCCATTTCACTTTTAAATCCCTCTGGAATTCAGCTATGTTTGTCTTGGTTTCAGTGACCCTGTCTCTGATTCTCCAACATTCGCTGTGTCCTTCTGTCTGTCTTTCAATGTGTGGAAGCCTGTTACTTCCCCAGCCCCCGCGCTGTCTCTCCCTGATGTTTCTAGTCTTGCTGTGTTTAGACATTGTTTCTCCCACCCAAGCCCTTGGGCTTCACGCCTTCTCCACACATGACTCTCAGAGATTGTATGGGGTTGTTTCTGTCTCTGACAGGTTGATCAGCAGGTAAACAAGAGTTGTAAGCAGATCAGAAACATCAACTAGAGAAGAGTCTCTGCAGGTTTTAATGCCTAATCCTGGCTGCACCTTTTGCCTTTTAGCCGCGTCAATCCTGAGCAGTCACTCTGACACTTTCGTGCAAGAGAGCCCATCTCTGACTGCTGGGTCTCAGTCTGTTAGATCTATTTAATCATCTACATCTAAAAACAGGTATTTC